ATTTTTTTTTTTTTTTTTTTTTTTTTTTTTTTTTTTTTTTTTTTTTTTTGGAGAAATTGATATTTTGTATGTTCCCAACCCACCCCTACCAAACTAAATGTTCATAAAATAAAAAATGTGAAAATATTTTTTAAAAAATAAAATAAAATCATGGAAATAATAATAACTTCAAATGTTTAGATTGGGGAGGAGAACAAATCACCCTCTATAAGGGTGTGGAAACCTTCCCGTAGCAGGCGCGTTTTAAAATCTTGAGGGGAAGCCAGAAATGGAAAGTCCAAAGAGGACAATATCGGCTAGCGGTGGATCTGGGTCGTTACAAATGGTATCAGAGCCAGTCATCGGACGATGTGCCAGCCTTCTCACGATTCTCCAAAGGGGGTAGACACGAGGCGGTGTGCTAGTAAAGACGCTGGCCCCAAACGGAGGTGGATTTGGGGGCGGTCCCACATCAATTGGATAAAGGAACGAGTGCTAGCGAGGACGCTGGGTCCCGAGGGGGGTGGATTGTGATGTCCTACATTGGTTGGGAAGGAGAACAAATCACCCTTTATAACAGTGTGGAAACCTGCCCCTACCAGACCCATTTTAAAGCCTTAAAGGAAGCCGGCCTTGAAGGAAAAGCCCAAAAGGATAATATCTAGCGGTGGATCTTTAAATTTTAAAATATTGAAAATGAAATATATTAAAAAGAAATAATAAAAAAAATTAGGAATTTATGTTTAAAATTATTTTAGGAAATCTTCTAAAATGGAAATTTTAAAAATATCATTAACACCCTTATAATATATATATATATATAATATATATATATATATATATATATATATATATATATATATATATATAAATAAAATAAAAATAAAATAAAAAATTCTCACTAGACGAAAATTGACTATCAACACCCCAAAATTATCTATTGAAAAGCTCGTGTGTATTATTTAAAGATATTTTTTAATTTAAAAAAATTAAAAATATTCTTGAAGTTTTTAAAAAATGTTTAATTTATTTTAAATTTAAAATATATTTTTGAAATGGTTTATTATATTTTTTTTAATTTAAAGGTAAATTAAAACTTTTTTATTATTATTATTATTATTATTAATTTAGGTTTAAAAATAAAACAAAGGCGGGAATTTTGAAGTGTAAAATAAGGACCGATTAATATTTGACTTTTTTTTTTTTTTATCTCGAGGCTTCCCTGATTTCCCGACATAATCGATTAAAGTAAAATGAGCAATGTCGCACCCCCGGGCATAGGTACCTACACATTAAAAATTAATTAATTAATTAAGTAAGTAAGTAAAAAATGATTAAATGTCCATAAACCTTAGGAAATTAACATGATGACATAATTGCCCCTCGCCACGTGGCTCTCGATCATTGCACCATTTTTTTATCCTTTCTTAACAACAAAACGGTAATCATTACGAGGACCTTCTTATTATCTTTCGAGAAACCTAAAACTTCTACAAAATTACTGAACATGGTAAGCCCACAATTAGCTAATATTATCTAATTTAGCTCACTGCGTATTATCGTCAGCTTCACGGTTTCAAAATATGTCTACTAGGAAGAGATTTCCACAGTCATACAAGGAATGTTTTGTTCCACACTCCAACCAATCAGGGATCTCACGATCCACCACTCTTGGACACAACGCGTCTACTAGGGAGAAATTTTCACACTCATATAAGGAATGTTGTGTTCCCCACTCTTCAATCCACCCTTTTTGGAGAGTAGCATCCTTACTGACACATCGTTCAATGTCTAGCTCTAACACCATTTGTAACCGCTCAAACCCACTATTAGCTGATAGTGTCCTCTTTAGACCTTTCTTTCACCGGCTCACACTCAATATTTTAAAACACATCTACCGTGACATACTTATAAGGAATACATCGTTTCCTCTCAAAATTTCATCAGATCTCACGCTTTTTCTTTCTGATTTGGTTCCAAACGAGAAATGGACAATTTTAACCCCACTCGATATCACGTGGCTGAGATTTTGAGAGAGTGGGTACCCTTTTTTGGTGTCTCGCATCTAAATAAAACCTTCACTTCTTTTATATATTTAAAAAAAAAAAAACCATTTTATTTATTTATATTTCTAAAATCCCACCTTTTTTATTTATTTATTTTTTTCAAAAGGTTATATTGTCGATTTTGAGCCGTTAGATCGTTAAAAATAATCACTAAAATACACAAATCCACCGACAAAGCATTTGGGAGGGGAAAAAATTGGTTGGAATTTCCTCTTAATCCATTTATTTATTTATTATTTATTTATTACTATTTCTGATGTGGAAATTTCGGTTCCCCCATGTGCTTGCTCGTTGAAGTGGATTGTCGACTCAATAAATAAAAATTAGAACCAAAAAAGGGAAAAAAAACGATTGGCTGACAGGGATTGCCATGTGGACTGCTAAGGACAGAACACGTGTGACGAGTTGATGAACAATAGGTTGCCAAGTAATTGTCAAGTCTAATCAGCCACCATGTGGAACCATATCCAAAATAATACTAATAATAATAAATGTCTACGTATTTGTTTAATTCCATTTTAGTTTATTTACTTTTAAATATCTAAATTAAAAAAAAAATCGTATATAAAGAAAGAGTCCGTATAAATTATTAAAATAATAATAATAATAATAAACTAATTTTAAATTTTATTTGAAATTTTTTGAGGAGAATTATTCTGTAACAGTCCAAACCCACCACTAGTAGATATTGTCCTGAAAAAACGTGTCTGTTACGGAGAGGTACTTCGTTCTCCTCTCCAACCAATCTGCGATCTCACAATCCACTACGGTTTAGTTTCTAGCTTTAATATTATTCGTAACATCCAAAACCCACTATTATCAGATATTATCCGTTTTATCTTTTTACGTATTGTCGTCAGTGTTATAATTCTTAAAATGCGTCGTTGGAGAAAGATGTACATGAAATTTATATTTTCTCTGTAAAAAAATATCTTTAAAAAATTAAAAATATTATTACTGGCGGACGACGGGCATTTGCTTGGCGTCTCCACCGCAGCACGTGTGAGGGAAAGGGACAACGGCGAGGCCATGTCAGCAAAGCGTGCGGAATTTCGGCGAGGTTTGCGGAACGCAAGTAATTTAAATAATTAAAATTAAATAATAATTAAAAAAGAAAAAAAGAAAGGGACCTACATTAGCTTTATAGAAGTTTGATTTTGGAGTGCAAAGCATGTGCGGTTGTCACGAGGATTTTTGGGCGCAATTAATTGTGCGTAAAATTCAATTTTTTTTTTTTTTTTTTTTTTTTTTTTTTTTTTTTTGCTCTTTTAATTACTTTTCTTCACTCTCCCCTCAATTTGCGGTGCTCATAAATTCAATACTTCCATCCCTTGCGGCAAAATTGGTACGTGTCCTTATCATTTTTAATTTCCCTTATATATATATATATATATATATATATATATATATATATATATATATATATATATATATAT